CTAGTTAACTAGTTTAGATGTAGATGATTTTCTTATGGCACCATGGTGCTCGTCATAGACGTCCTTTTCTGCTTCTTATAGATTGAAGAACACATTTCAATAAAGCAAAGAAAAAAGAGGCGTAACAAGCAATATTACAGAAACAGCAAGTAAGGCTCCAATTCAATCCGTCACATGGTTACATTTTGGTGGTTTCTTTCTATTAAAACAGCTCTACAGGCTGTCAAACTAATGAGGATGTCCAAAGGTGATCCAGTAAAAGCTGGCTATGGTGTTGGAGATCAAAATGGGCATGACTGACCAGACGAGCAGACCCCCCCCCATGACGAGCACACTTGGGGTTACCAATCATCCATAACATTAAAACCACCTCCTTGTTTCTACACTCATTGTCCATTTTATCAGCTCTACTGACCAATATAGGAGCACTTTGTAGTTCTACTATTACAGACTAGTCCATCCGTTTCTCTTCCTTCTTTTTTTTTTACCCTGTTCTTCAGTGGTCAGGACCCTCACAGGACCACCACAGAGCAGGTATTATTTGGGTGTTGGATCATTCTCGGCACTGCAGTAACACTGACATGGTGGTGGTGTGTTAGTGTGTGTTGTGGTGGTATGAGTGGATCAGACACAGCAGTGCTGTTGGAGTTTTTAAACACTGTGTCCACTCAGTGTCCACTCTATTAGACACTCCTACCTTGTCAGTCCACCTTGTAGATGTAAAGTCAGAGACGATAGCTCATCTGCTGCTGCATAGTTTGTGTTGGTCATCCTCTAGTCCATCGCCAGTGGTCACAGGACTGGATGGATGTTTTTGGTTGGTGGACTATTCTCAGTCCAGCAGTGACACCGAGGTGTTTAAAACTCCAGCAGCGCTGCTGTGTCTGATCCACTCAGACCGGCGCAACACGCACTAACACACCACCACCACATCAGTGTTACTCCAGTGCTGAGAATGACTCACCACCCAATAATACCTGCTCTATGGTGGTCCTGTGGGGTCCTGACCACTGAAGAACAGGGTAACAAATTTATACAGAGAAACAGATGGACTACAGTCTGTAACTGTAGAACTACAAAGTGAAACAGTATGGTCAGTGGAGCTGATAAAATGGACAATGAGTGTAGGAAGGTGGAGGTGGTTTTAGTGTTAAGGCTGATTGGTATAGTTGGTTGTGCACTTGGGTAAGGCTGGCTGCTCCCAGACTGGACTGCAAAATAACAAATTTCCTTTGTAGATAAAGTACATAACACCTGCTCTTTGGCACACACTGGTCAAATGTTGATTTCTTATCAACATTATTATAAGCTCATGACCTTACAGAGCACCAGCTTTCTACTTTCAGCAGCTACAGTCGAACAAGAAGAGCTAAAAGCTTTTTAAAAGAGAAACCTGTTAGGAATTATAGCAAAATCAGCAACTGAAGATGAGGTCACTGGAGTAAGTACACATGGATTGGTATCGACAAAGTCAGCTGAGGAAAACTGCTGTGGTGGAGGACAGAAAAATCACCAGTGCTGTAAAGGAAAAAACCTAAAACAATTCCAACTGAAAATGTAAACAACTTCAAAAGTGTGGGGACAGTTTATTGTGAGCTCAATTAAAGCTACAGCAATGTTCTTTTTACAATGCAGAAGAGTAAAAACAAAGTTCTGAATGTATTTCATGACAGTACAACTGTAAACCTCTGTCGGCAGGATGGGAAGGTTGAAGAACGTGTGGAGATAATACCTCATCTGCAAACAGCATGGTGGTTATTCTCATGGTGCCAGACGTGATGTTATAACGAGAATATTTGAACTCAACAGCAAAACAAATACACCCCTCCCTGTCAGTGGTCCTTGAAAAGCTCCGCCCCCAAATTCATGGATGCCCATTGCTGAGGCGAACAATGCTTTTTTAGATCTTTTTGACCATAAAACTCTTTGCAAACATTGTACAGACAAATACCATGATATAACATTAGAGTAAACAATGACACAGCAAATAACTAACGTTAGCTAGGATGTGGTTTAGCAGACTGTCATTAATAATTGCTGCTGTGAAGCTAATTAGTTGCTATTATGAACGGACCAGCTTTGAAAACAAAACAGAGAGGCTCAGATTACACACACACAGAGGGGACCTCATTCTCTGTTCAGGACCGTATTACTCCACTATGTCTTTCCATAGAAAATATTTTTTGCTGCTATATGAATGTTTAAAATGTCATAAATATAACCTTTAAACTTTTGGTGTTGGACTGTGATGAAATCCACCACTAACAAGGACGAGCCGCATCTAAAACCCCAAAATTTCTCTAGTCCATTCTCCTTTAATGTTTGGAGGACAGTCGATGACATAGGCAAAACAAGCTAGGTAGCAAAGCACTAAAGCGGAACGATTAGAGGAAAATATCTAATTGCGATTTTCCAAACCAATATTGCAACTGCAATTTACATTTCAATTATTTTCTACAAATTAAGGTCCAGGCCTATTATTTGTTTCTTGTCTTAAGGCTTGAATGCAGAAGGTAGTAAACCAGACTGACAGTTAGTTCATGATGATAACAAAATTGATCACGATAACAATAAAATTTTGCCATGTGGTCCACCTTTACTTGGGTGTTTTGTTGCATTTGTTTGGCTGAACTTATTTACAGGCAGATCTCAAGCTCCATGTTTTCAAAGCTTAAGACAACAGTGTTAATAACAGTCTATAATTAAGACTGCAGCTCTTTCAAATTGCGAGTTTGATATAAAAACGATGAAATCTTTCAGCCCTACAAAGCACTACTGTTAGCTAACATTCATTCGGCAGTAAGCTCAGTACATGCACTAGTTGTGCCATATGGGCTTGGTTTCCACTCCACTTTTGCTCTGGCTAAAAGCTCAGGTTCAGTGGACGAGGTTGCACCATAACAAATGCCACACTGAAAATCATGGCAAACATTGGCAAAGAACTGAGTTACATTTGGTCCTCAATAAGGAGAGCTACAACAGTTTCTAGGGTGATTTTTATTGTAACTGTAGATAGACTACACGACAATTTACCAAAGACTGCATTTAAACAGGTTTCTCCACCCTTGTCGCAAGCCAGCACAAGGAAATGGAGCCCAACCAATTTTTTCGGAATACCATTTTGATTCACTTTTGTCGGAGGTATATTCAGTGAACCAAATCAATTCCAGGAAGCGCTTTAAATGCTTTATTTAAAGACAGGTACTCAAGTATCTTCAATCTTCTATAGGTATAGTCTGGTTTAGCAGAACTTGTTTTAAGCAATACGGTTTGTTTTTGCTGTATGTAATGCAGGCACAACAAACTGGGGACCTTCCAAGCCAAACTGCCGCGGATATTAGAGTTTACCCTCGTCTAGCACTCTGTATTCAGTTCATGAAGGCCTGTATTCAGTTCACCAGGCCTCAATGGGTGCTTTACTGTTCCGCAGAGACATAACGCAGGAACATATGGGCAAAACTACCGAGGAGCAGCTCAGTGGGGAAAAGTGGAAAGTTCTGGACTGACCAAGTCAATCTCCCAGCTTACGATTCAAAACAGACTGAAGTCCCTGAAGCCCAAACAGAAACAGAAACCTTGCTTGGCAAGTAACCAAAGAAAAACCTTGGTTAAACATGGTTACATTCATGGATTGTGGATTTGTGTGCAAGACAATCAAACCCGAACCTCAGAACTCTCAGGAGTTTTGTTGTGCTATCCTTGCTTTTATTGTCAGTTAGATACACAATAAATTACATCTACAATGGATTTACATATTTTTAACAAACAATCTGAACTTCTGACTTTTCCTGTTGGTTTTTATGTTAAATGACAAGTAATTGTGATTTATCACATTTTTTGTAAAATCACTGTTAATCACACATTTTTGCTCAAATTTGACCCTAAAGAAAGATATTTTTTTTTCTCATTTAAAAGCAGTGCATTTTGTTATACCTCTATTAGTGGCTAAAAAAAACAATCAGAACGTATTTATTACTTTCAATAATTCAATACATTTTCATTGTGTGAACACATAACCTGGACATGATAACCTCACAATGAACAGTTGCCAGTTTTCATCACCAACGTCCAGTGAGAGCAACAGTGTCTGCACGTTCCAACCAATGAGTGTATATATTATATATGATACATAGTGAGTGTATATATCGTGTGTACAGTTACAGTGTATATATCATATCTACAGTCAGTGAGAGTATATATACATCAAATATACAGTCAGTGGTTCAGCTCCTCTTTGATTGTATCGTCTCACTCTTGTTCTTACAGCTTGTGGAGTCTTGTTACAGTGGAGGATCTTGAGGGGTACTGGAGCTCCACCAAGCGTAGTCTGCTGAATGTGCTGAAGGTGCTGTACAGTCTGCTTCGGTCTGCACTACCATGAACGAAAAGTGAAACTCAGAAACCGCATTAGCTCATTTATCCCAACGGTTATATGTATCTGACACAGGGAGACTATATACTTCTCCACAATGACAAAACAGAGGCCTAGAAATACCCCAAAATAATGTTAACCTGCTTTAATATACACCATGCGTAAAAACACTGATAGACTGACTGACATTTTAAACACATTTCATATGACAAAAAACTGCACTCAGGCCACAGTGTATGAAACAAAGTTTTTATTTTTTTATCTTACATATTTGTACATAAACATTTCTCTCCTGAAATAAAGAATCTGAATACAATAGGATGAAAATGATATTAACACACTTATTTAAAATGACTTGTGTCAGAGAATCAACATTCACAAAATGTTGAATACCGATTAGAGTGAACATATTACCAAAAGCTACGACTACAAGGCAGGCATGTTTCCTTTAGACTTTTAGCACCTTCAAATGAAAGTTTCAGTTGAAAACTACTGTTTGTGCAGAATAAAAACAGGCCAACTTTTAAAATACTGTCCAACTTAAAATTTTTCAGCAGTTAATCCTTATTTTCTTTATACAATGAGTTTTTAGCTTTTATATCTGACTTTCTACTAATTTCTCACTATGTTTTTTTTTCTGTCTGTATTTTGACAGTTATAATTTACTGGCAAATGTAAAAAGTTAAAATTAAAGACTATTAAGAAGCAAGGCCAATCACTGCACAGAAAGCCAGGAACAGTATCCAAGACTCACACTTTGTTTTTCGCCTGTCAGGAAGTGCTCCATCATTTTGTATTTGTACAACCACAGAAGCAAAAGAAAAGTGGCTCTTCTCTGTATTGACGCCATGATGGGAAGGGTGGTGGAGGTTAGGGGATGCGAATGGGGCTCATTTGGAGAGGGTCTTCTCAGCCATGTGTTTTTGCTGGCTCTCAGCATGCCTTTGGATACACACACAAATACTCACAGTAAGACATCGGTTATGATATTTAAAGGCTGTTATCATATTTAAAGTCCTTCAGGCTGGGCGACCGGCGTGTTTACTTTTTTCCACCAGAACCCCAGTGCATGAAATTTCACTATTTGTAGCTTCCAAAAGAACCCCTTAAAATACTGTGTGCAGATCCTGCTGTGCTCACAGGCCACTTTATCAGAAACCCCTCCCTTGTAGTTCCATCTAGAGCTTAAATAAGGCCCCCAAAAGTTTGCTCCAAACCCCAGTACAGCCCATTACTACATGAACAAATTTTAACCCGAGCTCAAATCCTGTTCGAAACTGACTTAAATAGGACTTAGTGTTGAATAAAACTTTACGTTTTCAAGTTTCAGTGAACACGCTGATGTATTTATATACTATTTTCCAAACAAAACCATTCTGAATGTTTCAAGGGCCCATATCATAAAATTTAGCGTTTCATTTTTCCTTTAAAGGTGCAGTGTGTAAGATTTAGAAGGATCTATTACACATACATTTTTATGACATTTGGCAGATGCTCTTATCCAAAGCAACTTACAATTTGATCATTTTACACAGAAGGTAGTGTAAAGGTAGTCTTGCCCAAGGACTTTTATTGATATAGTGTAGGGTGCTTACCCAGGCGGGGATTCAAACCCCAGTCTACAGTGTAGAAGGAAGAGGTGTTACCCACTACACTATATTGGCATTACATTAGTGTATAATCATCTGTATATACAAATTGTGTTTTTGTTAGCTTAGGATGAGTCCTTCATATCTACAGGGGGAACAGCTCCTCTTCCAACAGAAGCCGCCATGTTGTGCTGCCATGTTTCTACAGTAGCCCAGAACGGACAAACCCAAAGCTGGCTCTAGAGAGCAACTTTAATGTTTAGCACCGGTTGGTAGACAGAAAGAAGAATAATCAGTGGTTGTTTTAGTGCTGGCTAACCATTTTTGAGGACCCAAATTTCGACCAATGGAGGATCATACGTATTATATAGCATGAGAAAAAGCGAGGGAGGGTGAATCCTCATTGTCATAGAAGCGAAAACATGAAGCAGCAAAACGGAATGGAGACAGGCGACGGAAGAATACCTGACGGGCACCGTAGGTTCTACTACATGCTTGGAAAGGGAGTGAGGAAGAGGGTGGGATTCAATTGGTTGCAGTTTGCAACCTCACCTCTAGATGCCAATAAATCTCGCACACAGCACCTTTAAGATCGATTTATTGATCATTATGCACCAAAAACAGTGATAATTAATTTTTACAGGATTATTTTCCAACCTCTCAACCTAGGCTGTTTTTATGAGCTCTGTTTTGATAGGCTGTCCAGTACTGTCTCATTCAAAAAAATAGTCAGAGCTGAAACACTTATAACTTCAATGTGAGTGGGCGGGGCTAAACTGCTGTAGGCTGAATAGGTGGATATATGAAAATGAGTCGCTCCTAATTACATCACTAAAACGATGAATTCAAATCGGACTGCATATTTCTTGCTGCATATTTTCCATATATGTACTGAACAGTGAACAGTACATTATGAGATTTTAACAATATTAATATATTACTTTGAACTTTACAGGAAATTTACTTTTTTCCATTATACTGACTTACTTTAAGTAAACCTACTTTCGCAGGTTAGCAGTGGGATATTATTATGGGACATCCCTTCACTTTTAATAAGAACCGTAAAGTAAAATAGTAGAAGAACCTGAAGTAAAATAGTAACAAACGTGCAAGCATGCAGCAGCTTCTCAATTCCACTACCATGTCAATGCAGTGCTGTGCTGAGACCAAAAAATATCTGGACAACAGCAGTCCTGTGGTCAGAAACAGACCAATGATGAATGGGGTGGAGGGGGCTGATAAACTGATATGATTGGCTACAGTCTGTAATTGTACACCTACATAATGGACCTATAAGGTAGCGGCCAGTAAGAGTAGGCACAATGTAGGTGTTTCCAACAAAGTGGACAGTGAGTAAATGTGCAATACTGGAACAGACAGTGCAATCCTACGTATGTTTTGGAGTGCCCCAGCTGTCAGATGTTTCAGTAGTGACAGCTGATGTCATAGGCATTCGTCTCAGCACTTCCCCCACCCTCTTCCTTCTGACCGATGACTCTTTACTATAGCGCTCTGCCTCAAACCACATAATGCTGCATACTGCTCTTACCTCAGCAATGATCTAACTTAACCAGCAACCTACAGGCTGCTACAGTCAGTGAGAAGCTATCAGATAGGTTACATGGAGGAAGCAGAGACTAATTACCTGGTCAGATCCTCAATGTCCACTAGCATGGCGTCCTGCTCCATGTGAAGCTCATCTCTGATCAGCAGCAGCTGCACAAGCTCCTCATTCAAACCTGTGCACAATGACAGCACAAACATCACCACCACAGTGTCAGAAATAAATGTCAGTATATATGTATTTATATATTTATATATATAAAGTAATATTGCATTCTTAAATATATGTGTTTGAATACTACAAACTATTCAGTTACCTCCCCTAAGATTTGTTTCTTCTGAAAAAATTCTGAATTCTGGGCATTCATTTTATAACAGCTTAATTTTTGACATTTCAGTCATTTAAATCTTCTTTCTTTGAGCTCTGTTCAACATGCTGGATACATCTAACATTTAGATAATTTCATTTACAGCTTCCTAGAGTCCTACTAATAAACCTATAATAAAAATGACTAATATATTACAGTCATTTTGCACATTTATCTGCAACCAAATGTTTTCCTATATCATTGAAATGAGTAATTCTAAACAGTTGAGCAGTAGTGAACAGTGTTTCACAAATCACAAATCTCAATATAAAGCAAAAAAAAACAAAACTGTTATAAAAAAGTGCAAATGTTTGGGCGCCCCTGGTTAAAACTTCTAACATTTGTTGTTTTTTCTAGGTGAAAATGATGATAAGATTAAGAGCATCACATACATAAATGTGATATGAACACAGTGTCCATAAAAAACACAGTTTCTGCTGGAAAATGCAGTTTACTGCATTTAATGTAATTTAATTAGTGCTTGGGATTCAACTGAAAGAACTGTTTAAAATCTACAAAAACAATAAACATTATATAAAATGAAATCAACATAAAAAGTGAGCTTCTTTTCTGGAAATTTTACTCTGCTTAAAGTTTACAATACTGTATATGGGGTAATTGTAAGTTAAGAAAATAGAAGAAAAGAATCAGAACAAGCTGTATCAGGTTTGTACATGTCAAATGAACCATGCTGTGCAGCTATAGAATATATATATATATATATATATATATATATATATATATATACATACACACACACACACACATATATATGTATATATATGTGTGTGTGTGTGTGTGTGTATGTATGTATGTATGTATGTGTGGTATATATATATATATATATATATATATATATATATATATATACTATATATACTATATGCACATACAAACACACACACACACAAGCTGCAAATGAAACTGAAATGAAAGTTTGAAAATGCTAATTCAGTTTTGTATTTACAATTGCATTTCCAGTGTGACACTATTAAAGACATAGTTCAATAAAAGTTTAAGTAAAGTTTACTTGGAAAAGCAAAGTGTTTTTGACATTTCATTTTCATTGTCTTAATGCTCTGACATATTGAAAAAAAGCAATAATAATCTGATTTACAGTCCTGTTTACAACTGCGTTTTCACTGTAAGTGAGGCTTCCTGTCAGTCAAACGCTGTGGTCGGATGTCGGGAGGGTTTCTTTAGTGCGAAGAAGTAACGAGTCTAAACTGTGGCAGTTCTTAGCACAGCTAGATGCTTGTTTAATACAATACAGACCTAGCATTAGCAACCGCGGAGTGAAATGTCAACATCACTAACCAAAGGATACTTCTGTCCAAAGTGATTTTTGTGTGGAAGTGATTGTTGACTTGCAGAGCTTCACAAGCACCAAAGTTAGTGACAGGCCTTGGGCAGAGGCTTGCCAGACTGTCATAGGAACGGTGGTCCTGGGTTAACGTGGCACTGCACATTTCAGTGCTTTTGCTGCTTTATCACACCCATTACACAGTCAGCGGTTGTTAACAAGCTGTTGATTTGTTTGGAAGTGATTCTTGGTCCACCATAGATGAAGCTGAGGGCAGCTTCTTATTCGTCTTTTCCCATTCCACCCTAAATGGTGCCGCAGTTACATTCTCATGCCTGATGTGCTGCTGCACCATTTAAAGGGGAATGGGAAATTCTGAGCAAGAAGCTCCTGAATAAGCGGCTGACTTCAGCCTCATATAGATGGTTCCCTCTATAGGTATCGGTATGTCGGGTAGTTTTACATATAGGTAGTTCCCGACATAAAGCTGTAGGTAGGATATTTTCGGGCAGAGGCTCGGACCTGAAGGCCAGGGCTACTGGGTTAGTGTGGTGTTTTCTAACCCATGTTGGTGCTTGTGAAGCTCTTAGTCAGTCAACAATCACTTCCACATGAAAATCGCTCTTTGGCCCGGTTAGTGATGTTGACATTTCACTCAGTGGTTGCTAATGCTAGCTCTGTATTGTATTAAACAAGCATCTAGCTTTGCTAAGAACTGCCAAAGTTTAGACTCAGCACTTCCTCTCAAAACACGGCCTGCACTAAAAAGTCCCTCCCGACTCCTGCCTACAGTGTTTGATTGACAGTAAGCCTCACTGACAGTGAAAATGCAACTGCAAATCAGCGATTGTTTATTCCTTTTTTGAAATGTCAGACTATGTCATTTTCAAGACAATGAAAATGAAATGCCAAAAGCACTTTGGGGAAACACTTTCTCTGAATACCATGTCTATAAGAACCTATGAACACGTTCGCAACATGTTATAATGCATTCATACAGCATCATAAACATGGCTATACAAATTTATAAAAATGCACCACCGTTAGCTTGGCTCTCACATAACACTGCATATCCAATAGAATGCTAGCAGAAATTAGCTGTGTGATGTCAGAGGGGGTTTCAGGGGAGAGGTCTGATGGATACTTGGTTTGTTGTGATGTAGTTTTTAAAGTGAGAGTGGTCGTTAAGGAAATGAGTTGTCGTTAAGGAAAGTGTATTGTAATATTACCTCTGGGCTTGTTAGGGGGATCTGAATATTCAAGACTTAAGCCTCAAAGGTCGAGCCCTAACAACACCCATGATGTGAAATAAAATACTTACACTTATTTGTCTCACTTTACACTCTGCAGGCTGGGACTGACTTCTTTGGCACTGACAATATGACGTGTGATTAACACTACTTATAATTAATTATGTTAACAGTTCATAATGCATAATAAACATGGCTATAATGCGTAATTCATTTTTATAAATACTTACAGCCATGTCTATAATGCCTTATGAATGCATTAATACGTTATTAATGTGTCAATAGATGGTCATAGACATGGTGTTCATAGAAAGTGTCACCACACTTTGCTTTTGCACACTAACTTAACAATCATTATACACAGAAATGCAAATGCAATTACACAACTGAATTAGCATTTTCAAATTTGCATCTGAATATGAATAACGTCTAGAATATGCTGCCATATGCAGCTATATACTGCATAGAAAGCACTGCAGTGAGAGCACTGATAAACAGCAAATTTAAGTCCATTTTTCACTCTACTGGTATATATTTAATGTAATAAAATAATTTAGTGAATTAATCATATCAGCTAACTCTTCATGAACTTTCCTTCAGCTAAAACCTATAAGGTGAGATTATGATGTGACTAAGTGTGTAATAGGAGATTAGCATTTGACTGCTTTTTTTATGACTAGGTTAACCACCTTTCTCGGTTTAAATATCAAGCCACAGCTCACCTACTATTGTCCTCTGTGGTCTAGTTTTGCTGACTGGAGATGAGTGGTGCACTAGAGGGACTGACGTGTATTGGACACACCTTTGTTCCAAAAATATCACACTGAATAGAAATTTTGTTACTCATTTCTGGTTTTATATTGAGTTTCATCAGCATCGTCTAGCACTTATACAGGCCCTTCAACGATTTCAAGGAGCCTCTGCTTTTCTTACTTTCATTTAAACAGACTGTCCTACATTGTGGGTGCACTTACTCTCGATCTGTGAGTGGAGGTCGTTGACGATGACCTGTAGCTGACCTAGGGTCATGTCTCGCAGATCTGTGGGCTTTAGGCTCCTCTTCATCAGACACTCACTGATGTGAGGCATATGGGGAAGCTACAAAAACAAAAACAACCAGTTAGGAGACCTAATGCACACACGAATAAAGTCTACAGACAGTAAATGGACAAATGACATACACCAGTGTCCATTTTATCAGCTCCACTTACTATATAGGTGAACTTTGTAGTTCTACAATTACAGACTGTAGTCCATCTGTTTCTCTGCATACTTTGTTAGCCCCCTTTATCCTGTTCTTCAGTGGTCAGGACCCCCATGGACCCTCACAGAGCAGGTACTATTTGGGTGGTGGATCATTCTCAGCACTGCAGCAACAGTGACGTGGTGGTGGTGTGTTAGTGTGTGTTGTGCTGGTCTTAGTAGATCAGACACAGTAGTGCTGCTGGAGTTTTTAAACACCTCAGTGTCACTGCTGGACTGAGAATAGTCCACCAACCAAAAACATCCAGCCAACAGCATCCTGTGGGCAGCATCCTGTGACCACTGATGAAGGACTAGAGGATGACCAACACAAACTGTGCAGCAGCAGATGAGCTGTCGTCTCTGACTTTACATCTACAAGGTGGACTGACAAGGTAGGAGTGTCTAATAGAGTGGACAGTGAGTGGACACAGTGTTTAAAAACTCCAGCAGCACTGCTGTGTCTGATCCACTCATACCAGCACAACACACACTAACACACTACCACCACATCAGTGTCACTGCAGTGCTGAGAATGACCCACCACCCAAATAATACCTGCTCTGTGAGGGTCCATGGGGGTCCTGACCACTGAACAACAGGGTAAAAGGGGGCTAACAAAGTATGCAGAGAGACAGATGGACTACAGTCTGTAATAGTAGAACTACAAAGTTCACCTATATAGTAAGTGGAGCTGATAAAATGGACAATGAGCAAAGAAACAAAAAGGAGGTCATAATGTTATGCCTGATTTGTGTATTTGTTGATTAGTTAAAGTTAGTTAAAATGAATCCATCCTCTACAGAGAACACATTTCAGAACATTGAAATACATAATTAGTGTTTATTTGCTTTTTTATTTTATATAACTTCTGTACAGGCCTCAATTTATGTTTTGCTTTTAATAAACAGTAAGTATGCTGTGTGTAGAGGATGTTTAAACTTTTTTACTGGATGTCACAGAATAAATTAAGAGATGCTATTCACATAGAAGTGACAAAATGTAAAAATACCAGGAATGATACTGATGTCATGACAGATATGCATCATTTTACCTGGAACAAAACTGGAAAAAGCCTTTTACAGTAACTGAGCTGTGTTTCTTTTAACATGAAGTATCTTATCTCACAAATCAGGCTCATCTCTTGCCATGTCAGACGTAATTTTTTTTCTCTACACTGTACCACTCCTGACCAGTGTAAAACCATCTCTCGTTATTAGCTGGTGACTGAGTCAGTGCCACATATTATTCATTTTATTAGAACCTGAGATTTTCCCATCGTCCAGTACTAAATTCTGAGGTACTGTAACAGTACTGGTCACTGCGTCCAATGGACTTTTAGTTTCAGGGAGATGACCTTTATCCAGCCATGTATAATGTTCCCCTGCCTTCCTAGTAGAAAATAACAAAATGAAACTGCGAGAAAATGAGCCAGACATGTGGCGCAGTCTCACCAGGCCTCACTTAACGTTCTATTTTTAATAAACTAAATAAAATGTGCAGAAGTGAGTTCTCTGTAGAGGATGTGTTAGTTCATTTTCACTCAGACAACAAAACCATGTAATTTGAGCAGGGGCTTATTCTGACCATGGAAAGGACTTGTGGTGCAAGCTTACACATCATCACAGTCACATCAAAACCCTTTTTAAAAAACGGGGGGGCTCTTTACAATCTGTGAAAACTTCATTACAAACGGACCAAAACATAGAACTAGCGACAATTATTTTAGTAAAACCTTGTCACATTAACAGAGTTAGCATTAGAGTTAGTTAGAGTTAACATTTCAGAGATAAGATGTTCAATACTAAACCCTATTTAATGGTGAGGGCCCACCAGAGGGCCCAAAGTTTAACTATACACGTCTATAACTTAAGAATAGCTCAGCCAGTTTGCACTAAAGTTACTGTAGTTACTGAATACTAAGCCTTAGTACGTAATAATCCTGGGACTTTATGGACTATAACAAGATGAAACTATTTCAGCACTGTTTGTAAACGTGATCAATGTTTATTTGTTTAAAATTACCCATTATCATTAATATATACAATATAAAATCAAAGCCATTGGCAATATCTCCCATGTTATATCTCCCATTTATTTAACTTTCACTCAAAAGTTTACTCGTTCTTCACCATCAGTAAAAAGCAGAAACATAAATTTAACAGGAAATTACACACATGCCTCAATAAGTAAGTATACCTTTATCTTTCAGTTTTTAATATGTCCACTCTACCTGTATTACAGCTTCCATTCCTGTCAGGAGACTCACTTTCAGTTGTTAAAGAAATCTAAATGTAAAGTTTAGTCTTAGAAGTTGTTTTTTTTTTTTGTATTTCTATATCACTGCTGTAGGAACAAAACCTCATATCTCCAGAATGGTAACTTTACAGGAGAAGCAAAAAACCTACTTTACTTTTAATGTAAAGCAATGGAACCAGACTTTTTTCCAAGTCATTTTTGGCCATTTTTTTGGTCTATTCATTGTAAAATTTACACATAATGGAAAAGGCAACATGCTTTTTCACATTATGTCAAAAACTGAAAAACGACAAAAATGTAGATACAAGGTTTTGTTACTGTACAAAAGTCTTAAACCTAACACAGTTTAAAACCATTTATCTTGACAATAAGTGCTTGTGAAACATAATATATCGTTCAAATAACTATAAATAGACGAAAAAGTAACAAGAATTTCTTATTTTGAAGAAAGTAGTTCACATCTCGTGTGCTAGTGACACTTGATTTAACATAATGAACGGTTCTATACGGCACCAAAAAGTGTTCTGCTATTGCTACATATCAAGCTTGTGACAATAGAAAAACCTTTCTTAGAGATGTACAGAACTGTTTTTCCAGAAATGCTGTATAAAACACATTCTCCATGAATCTGAAGAACCCTTTCACCATGCAAAGAACCATTTAAGCATGAAATGGTTCTACATAGAACTCATGGTTCCAAACAGAACCACTGCCTTTGAAGATAAATGACATCATACTGCCCACCCAACTCCACACAGGCCTGTCATGATGACTGGAGCTCCTCTGTGAAGTAGATGCAAGGTGACTTTAGCACCTCCCGCTGCGGCTTCCTCTCTTGGTTTCATTCTCTGCCCTGTAGTGACAGCGCCAGCGAGTGGTTACTCATGCATGCTGGGATTTCTAATGTTGTCGGGGGGAAGGAGAAATCCCCCCTCAGTTTACCGAACACTCTCTCCTCCCACACTGCTGCGAATAGCCACCTTCCTCTCTATGCAGGCTTGTTTTCTCTCGTTCTGTCTCTCTCTGTCTCTCTCTCTCTCTCTCTCTCTCTCGCTCTCTCTTTTCTGATGCAATGTTTCTCGCCCGTTTCCTCTCTGCCTGGCCATCTCTCTCCCTTCCTTCCTTCCTTCTTTGTAAGCCAGTAGTTGCAGAGTGTATGTGTGTAAGGCCTCTAGGTTTCACATCAGCAGTCACATGACACAGCCACCGGTTGCTTCCTGGTCAGCGTGTCACGGTTGTTGTGACGAAAATGAAAGCGGAAAGCCTGACAGTCAGAAGCAGTTCGCCGATACCTCGAAGCACAGTGAACCTACAGCGGACTTTCCTGTTATTGGGTAGCGATTATGTCACTCCGGCCTGCATCACGAACGCCCGAGGATTACATCATATGTTTTTATGGGGTCGAACCAATCAGCGAAGGAAAAGCTCCACTTACTAGTGATGACTGACGCACAGAATAGGCAAAAGTCCTGATCAGCTTTATTTTATAAACCGCTGAGGTTGACCTAGTTTAAGGCCAGGCATTCGTGTGTGAAGAATTCTACAGCAAGCTGGGAACTTGTGACATTTTGCACAATTATTAAATGCATTTCTCAGCAAAGAAGCTTGGAAACTTAACAGAGACAACTTTTCAGTTTGGTGAGCTCAGAAGATGTGGTACGCAAACCCAAGCATTTCTATACAATTTTAATCAGTTCACAGTCTCAGTTAACAGATTCAAAGAGATTCATGTTTGGTGCAGTTTTTTACAAGACATGAGAGACACTGGGCAAAAATATAATATCAAGATATTTAGCACAATATTTAGGTTCTCTGAGGCTTGATAAGCTGGAATTGGGCAGAGTGCTACATTTAAAAAAATATAAAAGCTACAATTAATTTTGTTGTGTTCCACAAACTGCGCAGTACTAAATCCAGTTAGCCCCTTAAATGGCCAGCGCCAGTGGGCCCAAAGTTTTACTACACACTTCTATAACTAAAGAATAGCTCAGCTAGTTTGCACTGAAGTCCCTGTAGCTACCGAATAATAAGCCTTAGTATGTAATAAGCCTAAGAATTTAAGTGGTTAACCAGGACTAATTATGTGCAGCATGCAGTTGCCTGGTGTTCTTAAATACAGATAAGCATTCTGGGAGCACTGCTTGCTCGTTTTTGTACTAAGATCAGTTTTTATCCGTCATCTTTGATGTACAGATTGACAATTTGGAAGGTTGTGAACTAATATGTCCCACTATAATGTATAATGAGGCCTAACTGATGTATCAGTTGGCAGATTATATCGGCCGATATTGGTGACCTGCAGTTTTATCACCAATAATTAGGGCGTTTTTGGTGGTGGTATTGCCAGGATTCAGTTCAGACGTGATCCTTAAATGAATGTGCCATGCTGGGCAGCCTAATGTGAGACATATTGCTGTCGTATATTTAAATATATGAAAACAATAGTGCTGTATTTACATGTTAGCAATAAGCGGTTGGTGGCAACCTGATTCCATTGTTTTCAATGGAGCAGTGACGGAAAATCCAGTATTATCCCATGGAATCCAATGGAAAGTCCAGTATTAAATAACAAAAAATGTAAAGAGTACAGAGCGTCC